TTTAGTGCCACTCTTTTCCAATTAACAAATCCCATCAATTCTTCTTGGTTTTGGTCCTTCAAAAAGCATAAATAAGACATTCATATACATGAAGCATTTCCCAACAAAAAATCAAGCATTACAATTCTTTTTTGGAAGGTACATCTATAAAAATCTCTGGGAATGCTTTCGTATAAATATGTTTTTATCAGAATACATATTTATAATTTTTAGAACTTACTCTAACCTTATTGACATTATGATTATTGCTGTTGCTGCTGCTTCAGTTATCATCTTTGTTGTAGTTATCCTCTTGATCTTGAAAACTCTTATTCAGAAATTACATTTTCTTTTCCTGTTGATTTATTTTGCTTTGGGCCAAAAGTTAAGATCTTACTCACATTCTTGTTTTAGAATGAAAGTTAAAAGATCAGGCCACTGTGTTTTTTGAGAGGTAAAGCTGGTGATTATTCCTATGACAGCATGGCCAGAAAGGAGCTTCTATGCTAAAAACTATCCCATGGAATGGTATGATAAAATTGCTACAAGTAATCATAAAAGCAGATAGTACTGCATGGGGAAATGTTCAAACTGAGGACATTTTAAACACTAATTTCAACTGATAACATTCAGTCATGATAAGCACAGAAAAGAAATATTGGCATCCTTCAATTCTGTCTTATCGGTCTCCAACTGTTTTCACAATGTTTCTGAAGATAATGGTATAATAGTATCAAATAATCATGTTATGATCCATTGCTGTTCATAGGCTTTCTGAGGGCAAAGTCTGCAGGAAAGAGGGTAGTGCATTGTATCCACTGAGGTTAGGATAAATTAAAACCACAAACTAAAAGGTCATCATGGGTATTTCCTAAGTGGGCCAAATTAATTTATTTTGATTTTTATTTTGCATTTGACTTTTCCCAGCAAAATCTCACTGGAATCTATGCATTACATCTAGGAACTCCTTGAATCTCCTTGAAAGGATTTTGCATGCTTCAATCTATTTTGCTTTGACGCAGAGACCCATGAAGGTAAACCACTCAAGTGCAAAGCTGACCCAAAGATAAAGCCCAGTTTGCTCCTTTAACATCAACAAACAATTCCACATTTACATGCTTGCTCTCTGAAAGAATGATTTGATCGTTGAAAAGCATCTTTAGAAGAACTTTTCTCCTGAAAGTTCTTCACAGAGCATTCTGAATCTGGTTGCCTACCACTATCAATAGTCAATAATCGAGCTTCTTAAATATGGCTCAGCCAAATTTACCTTTCTTAAGATTTAAGATAGCACCCTTCTGGTCTGTTGGGACTATAGCTCCCAAATTCCCAGCCAGCATTTTTACTATTGTCTCTAGGAAAGTTGATTCACCATTATGACTTTATACTTGCACAAGTACAACATGCTTTGTGTGTCTGTATGTATAATGATAGACATTGTTAATACTTGCCACATTAAAATTATTTGGATATGGAAAATGTTTTTTTAGGTCAAGTAATTAGAAACTGATGTAAGTAAAAAAGTAAATGACAAAAGAGAAAAACTGGAGTAAACCTGCTATTGTGTAGAAGAAAACTGCAGTACAAATCATTCTGTTCCAATTCTACTTATGAGCCTTTTAGTGAGACAATTCTAGGCTTCTGAAGATTAGGCTTACTCTTTTCAATCACCACCTAATCCAACAATGATTAATTTAGCCATTGTAACAAACATTAAAAAAAGATATCCCATGATTTGTTCATATAACACAGTCATAAGAACAGCAATTTGAAACATGACATAGGAACTGTATGCAGAATTAATGCTGACATAATGCTAATGTGTTTGAGTGAAAGCTGGTCATTACAGTTAATTTTCACAGAAACAAATGCTATCACTCAAAGTAGAAAAAGTACAGATCAACATAAATTATTTCACTGACCTTTGCATTATAGATCTGTATACAGGCCACATGCTTTTATGTCAGTACCACCAAGAATCTTGAGGCACATTAAAGATTAATAAATAATTCTGGCATGAGGTTTCATAGATTATAGTTACTCATAAATATATCATCTAATAAATTTGCTACTCTTTAAAGAACCACAATACTCCATTTGGTTTTATCTTGATCAAACCAACATGCCTATGTCTTCTGCAACTTATATGTTCTCTCTCTCTCTCTCTGTGTACACACACACGGAAATACAGAATATTGTCAATAATAATAATAATAATAATAATAATAATAATAATAATAATACTTTATTAAACCTGTATGCCACCCAACTCTCAACAATTCTGGGCAGCTATCACTATCATATTAAATCACTCACCTTATTAAAATCAAATGTCTCAAACATTTGTTCAATGTATTCATTTGATGACGGACTCAGATTTTTCAAGCCAAAAAACTGTTTAAATTCATGTAGAGTCAATTGTCCAGAGGGACACTCTGTCATAAACTTCTTGTACCACTGGTGGCACTCTGTGGTACTCAGTTCTTCAACAGCTTTGCCATCCATGTTCCCCATATTTAAAGCAAAATAGATGCGTCTTTCAAGAACAGTGAGGTCTTCTAAAGGTTTTTTCCTCTTTATTAAACATTCATATAGAATGAATAGCTCAGAGGAAAACTAATGAAGTAGAGAGAAGGACAGAATCTGTTAAAAATAAACTTCTTTAATGAGGGAAGATGAAGCTCTTTGAGAGTTTTAAAATAGTGAAAGCTTCTTCAAAGCAGCTTCTGATGTTAAGTAGGCACTAAATTCTCCTCTAGCCAATCAGAGAAGAGTCCTGTGATGGGCTACCAAAGGGTCACAGGAAACTCAGGCCAAAAATAGAACAATGTAAAATGAGAGTTTAGCGGATTATAGGGCCCAGGAATCGATTACAATGGCCCTAACTGTAGCTCTGAAGATAGCTTAATAATGTATAATCCATTTTGGATTCTGTCACCCATGGTTATAAGAAAACAAGAAAGTGTTTGTGGAAACAATCCTGTTGTCTTTCACTGTTCCTATTAATTCCCCATGTGGAATCATAAAATAAGAAAAGGCCATTCAACTTGAAAGCAGGCCCATTCACTTAAAGAAGCTTAAGTAGTGCCCTAGACTGAGTTCCAAGGCACATTGCACAATAGACACAATATCTGAAAGTTAGCAGACTATGAGGTAGGGAGAGATAGAGAAAAAATATAACTGAAGGTATTCTAAAAAAAGATCAGGAATCTGAGTTTAAGGAGGCAGTGCAAGAAACAATCCACTTATGGGTTCTGCTGAATAAATTATAAAATAAAAAATGGAATAAATACAACAATCCAAATAGAGTGTTGTATGTAACTGTCTCTTCTGCTAAGGTATGCAGATATCATCACTGATAGTAGTGATAAGACTAAGAAAACTGTTAATGATTCTGCGATTTCTTTATGTCATAAGTATATAATAATAGGCGTATGTATCGGCCCTTGTGGCAGCTTTCCTCTTTTGCTATCTATCTACTGTAGGCTAGCTCTAAAGTTCTGTGGAGACATTTCCTGCTCAAGAGTATAAGTAAACTGAACTGGAAGATGTGGGTATATGTTTAAGCTCCACTCCACAGCTTTTTGTATTGCAAAGGATTTTCTAAGCACATTCAGCTAAATTTAGTTAGCTCTATTGATCCAGGAATCCAGAAGAAGTTAGCCCACCCATCACAAGAGCTTTGAATTGACCAGATACAAAGTTCTTTGCAAATTCTGCACACAGCTTTCAAATGCTTACTAGACAGCCAAGCAGGTGAAGACGCAGGATAGAGGTCTTACAGGTACTTCTATGTCTTTTTTGGGGGGGGGGGCTTCAAATCCATTTTTAACTCCTGGCAACTGCCTGGACTAGTCCCTGAAGTTTTCTTGGCAAGGCTTTTCACAAGTGGTTGGCCATTGTCTCTTTTCTAGGGCTGAGAGTGACTGGCCCAAGGTCACCCAGCTGGCTTCATGCCTATGTTGGGACTACAACTCATGGTCTTCTGATTTCTAACCTGATGTCTTAACCCCTACACCAGACTGGCTCTCTACATCTATGTCTATCAAGCCAATTTAGATGTACTTATAGGCAGGTCAACTGCAGGTGTTTATTGTTATTAGCATGTCTAGTCTTTGCTTCTTAAACACATTATCAGTGTTGCTTGTTTGAGATCCCTTTTCCATTTTCTCTACTTCTTTGTTATGTAGTGGTTAACTTGAATGTGAATGTATAAGCTATTATCAAGATATCTTGAATAGCAAATTATTTTTTGTCAGACCATATACTTCATGCTTCTTGTTCTAAAAGGCATTTACTAAGTGAATGTTTCCAATACATATCTGAGAATGAACATTTGTGGGAATATCCTGTTCTGTCTTGTGCACACATTCCTCAGTCTTGCGTATATTCTATTGTTTCACATGTTTTCATTGTATATGTGTGTGGGTGTGGGTATGTATGTGTGCATGCGTGTGTATACATATATACTGTGTGTGTGTGTGTGT